CGCACTTATCTGTAATAAACATCGGATATTTCCTGCACTACAACCCTCACTGCTTCTTCACAAATCTGTCAAACTCAAACAATGTTTGTAGCAGATCGACAGACTTGTCAAATTATTCAGCTTCAAACACGAATATAAAAGCGAATATAAAAAGTTGCAAGTACGAAAATTTATTAGAAATACACTACAATCATCACGTTCTTGAATACGAAACCCGCATACAATTATTCAAGGCTCTAATTTAAACCCGTTGAATATCGACGAATAAAAAAAAGCTCATAATATCTGTCAGATGAGAAAACGATGTGCAAGCTTTAAGTACGTATAAATCAAGCTCAATCGCATAACAAATACCATCAGGAGAAAACTTAAGATACATATAATCAATATCAGCGACTAGAATGAGATCATAGAGGTAAAGGCTGATCGACAAAACTGACTAGGAGGGGGGTGGGGTAGAGCAGAAAAGCCAATCAAGAGCAATGGTCAAAAGGCATTCGACCTTATATGTACAGATGTATTTCGTGGATATTCTCATAGAGAAAAATTCATGCTTATCCAACGCTATCAGCGGACACTTCAGCTGACCTGAGCAAACGAAGAGATAATTGATCGTCCTCAGGATAGGTTTTCTGGTTTCCATCATCAGCTCACGATGAGGCTGTTTCTGGGATTGGTGGAAGGGCTGAAATACTAAGTAGATAGTAAATCGAACTTCGCATTTTTTTCGACATATGATAAAAACATGCTCACTCAATAAATCTGACCCAGCATCATGTCGTTCTGGACTTAGAGATCCAAACACAGCTGGTCGACGACGTGGGCCCGGATCTGAGGATCCACGACACAGCCGAGGTGGGACGACTTTTCTAGAGAAGATACAGTATGCTGCCGTGACTTCTCGGCGTAGTGTATTTGCGTACCTCGCATAAGTTGGGCTACGACTCTGCGGGGAAGATGCGCGTCGTTCGGCAAATGGCGACTCACCTATGACTGCATGTGGCGAACGTCCTTCAGGTGAACTTCTTTCCGGAAGCTGAAAAAGCTGATGTTGGAATTTATGTGCAAAGAGAAGCTAGATGACTCGAACCGATAAATTGTTAAATGATAAACTTCCAAAAAAGCATATTATCCAATTTTTTTCTGATAACAGTTGCATTCCTCACCTGACTATCCTCCTCCTCTTCCGACTCAGTAATCTCTTCAAATGAGCATGTCATCGACCGGATTCGTTCATCCCGTCGTAACATTAGCGGTGGTCGCACTTCAGTGCTAAATTTACGAAACAAAGCAAACTGTCGCTGCTGTGGATTTGCGGTTGTCATCTGTAATTACGGACTTTTTAAGAGAAATAAACAGGCGTTACAAGTGTACGATCTCTGCAAGAGCAATGACTTAAGCGAGATGCGAAAAAGAAAACTAGGCAACTAGGATTCGAGATGCTGTACTTTATGTGCCTCAGCTCTGCTGCTCAAAGCTTGAGTGCACTATTCTAGGTGAATTCATAAGCGCACCGCAGAAGCAAATCGGATGATTTAGCAGTGACGTAAGTGAGAGCTAATACACAAGTGCTGACAGCTGAACACTGGCAGCTCAGAAGCTCAATTTCTGCATTTGGAACTCTCAAATACTTTGCCCATCGTTGCAGCAAAGAACGATCGTTACGCTACACAAACATTACGATGCACACAACATTGTGATTCAGCTGGCACTAGACGTGAACTAAACGCTGCTAATTATTTTCGTTTGACAATGACACCAAAGTACGCGACTTATTGTTTGGTTAGCGCAGGTCGCGCTCTTTACCAGACGTATCGTAAAAGTGCTATAAACTTACAATTAGTCATGCGACAGTTGCAAAAAGCAATCATTAGTTTGGAAAAGATGAGTCTTGATTAACGTGTGACAGAAATGATCGAAGCATGTTTTGGAACATCAGAAAGGAATCATAAATTGAAATCTAATGTTCTCAAAGCATACGGTTAATCGTACGCGCCTCGCGCGATTTCGCTACGAGATTTGGCGAGTTGCCAGTTCTTTACCAGACATAACAAAAGTGCTATAACCTTTGGTTATCCGATATTTTGTAAAAAGCGATCTCTGAATGATGAGTGACAGAAAATCGAAACGTTTTTACTTTCAGCAAGGCATCATAAATTGGAACCTATCGATACCATAACCTCTATCGTACCCCAGCGATTTTCCCGAGAGATCTTCAAGCAATTTATCAATTTGCCAAACGTTTGCAAATCAATGGGGTGTGAATCAAGCCTATATACGTGTAAGTTTTGCAAGCCTTATGCAAATATGCCAAATCTTGCTCAAACAAAATGCAGCTGAATGGAATTACAAAAAATCGCTGCATCAAGAACGTGGGGTATACAAATGCCTCAGCCTAAAGCATATGTAAAATCACACGTTAGTATTGCATACTGGTATTACTTTCAAGAAATCTTCTGACCCTATATCCTGTACATTCAAAGTGCCCTTGCGACGGATTATTAACAATTGGAGAATCATAAAATCGCATAAAGTATGCCTCAAGCAAGCTTAAAGATGAAAAATGATGCATATAACGGAATGCAGAATAAAGCGAAAGCCAATGCAACTAAATTGGAATAAAAAAATCTAGACTACTCTGAAATAGTGGGCACTTTTGAGCACTCCACTTATTTTTCACCCTTGCACATAAAAACCAAGCAATTTCTTCTATTTCCTCAAATAAAGCAAAAAGCCAAAAATCACTTACAATCAGTGATACATCACAATACACTCTTCACAACATCTAAGCCTTCAAAGAAGTTTACATACAGATATCGGTATAGATGAGAAAATTTTCCATCATTAAGTGTTCTTTATGGTAAACTTGACCGAAAGAAGGTAGATTGCGAAAAATCCAACGAAAAGAAGTATCGCAAAAATTCATGGCGTGTAAGG